GGGGTCTATTCCACGCCTATGGTGCTAGGACGTTCCAGACGTACCGTACTCCGATGTGAGAGACGAAACTGAGTTATTTCCTGCTAAGGGGAAAACTTGTTTTTGATATCCCCTATTTTGAAACTGACTTTTCGAGGAGGACCTTGCGAATGTATAGGAGCCAAAACAAATTGATCAAGGTCCCGTTCAACCGTTGCTTCGAGCTCATTTTCGCGTCTTCAAAGAGTCTACTTGGTACCACTTTTCTCGCCATTGTTAACATGCTCTCTTCTGGCCTCGAACCGTTGACGGAGTGCAGTCTCACACGTCTCTCCGACACCGTGGACGGCACCGTAAGCGAGAAGTGTCATCATTGGCACAGGAAAATTCAGATACGAGTGGTCTCAATCCTTAGCATTGAAGACACTAAACTCTGGTTCAGATCTTCTGTAAACCCACTCGAGCGTTGTGCTTGATTGGGCGCACAGTACACGGACCTGACAATTGAGTGGCCCTTGACGTTTGCCGACCCAAATATTTACGCCAAGCTGAGGGAATTCGAATCACTTGTTTAGATTGGACTGGAATGGCATAGGGATTGATGCTTGAGCAAGTAAAGAGGTCGCACTTCAGACTAGCTCTTTCAAGGATAGGGAAAAGAGATACTAGGGCATACAGAATAAGTCTGAGTTAGAGGTCCCAGGAAATAGGCCGAAATTTGTTGAGGTGCATGTGGTGATGGTTACTGTGACATCAAGATTCTGGCGCCAAGGGAACTTAAAAGAGCAGGAATCGTGTGAATCACGACTTAAAGAGTTTATCGTTCACGTGTCAGGGGACGAGCTCGAGGAAAAATAGTTGACTAGTTAAATCGGAATGACTTTCAAGGGCAGGAGGGAATGGTATCGAAGTAGACAAGTTTATATCGGTTCTTGGTTGAACTGATGAACTGTTGAACCGACGACCTTAATTTGACTAAAATTTCGACCCTGCTTCAGTCTTCTCAGTGCCTTCAATGGGGCTCGAGCTTCGGACGTAGAGATGAGTAGACAAAAACTCTCCTCATAAGGTGAGGAAGGAATGATAGTTCAATCTTCGCATAATCAGATGAGTAGGCCTTATTTTCATCGGAAGTTCGCTCAGCTTTGCTTCCCAAAAGATATTCTCATTTAGAATGGTCGAAATTATTCGCTGCACGACTCGCATTCGATTCACTTTGGGGATACAGATGGAACCCATTTAAGGTCTAATCTGCAATCAACTCTGTATGAGCATAGCATTTCGGAAGCAAGGCTCATTCTGGCAAAATTTAACTATCCATCCTTAATCACCAGATTTACTATTCTACATGAGCGGATAATCTCAGGACCTGCTTCCTATAGACAATCTCCTCCATTGCTTGAACCCAAATGAGTTCTGAACCCCAGTACAGCCAAGATGAAAGTAGATTTAGAAGAATCATTCATTTTCTTTCAAGTTGGATACAGCTTAATTTGATAGAGTGCAAAGAGAATTCCCAGGTAAAATTAGACTTCGGAGAGGAGCATTTTCATAATAGGAAATAGTAACGGAAAGAGAGCTCTTAAAATTGAAAAAATAAAAATAATACTTCAAAAAATGCCGCTCTTTGTAGTTTCTATTCACTAGATTTTATCGAATGCCTAAGGATTTTTTCAAAATAGAACATTTCTAATAGTGTTTAAGATAATGATAGTGATTCTTGTTAAAATGTGTTAAGGAAGAGGCATTATTCTGTATTCAAGATGATTAAGTCTCTCAGCAAAGCAGACATTTCATCTCCAGTCTTGACTACAATGTAAACCTCGACTTACCATCTCATTACCTCCCAGATTTGTTTTTGGAGCAGATATTTTGTACTCTCGAGCACACGATTTTAATGCCGTT